GCAGACTGAGCTCTGAAGGGCGGGGGAAGGCTTATAAAGCCTTGCCCCGCCCTGCAATTAGGCTCAGAGCACTCTGATTGGTGGGTTTAAGCCATCCAATCAGAGTTTGACAGGTAAATGAAGAGACTGACAGGTAAGTCTCTTCATTTACCTGTCACAGCACTCTGATTGGTTGGTTTGAAATCCACCAATCAGAGTGCTCTGTGTCATTTTACACAGCGTGGGAAAGTTCTTTGGAATTTTCCCACGCTGTGTAATATGACTCATAACTCTCTGATTGGTAATCCACCAATCAGAGAGTTATGAGTCATATTACACAGCGATTTAGAAGAAAGAAAACATTGAATGGTAAGTTTTTTTTTTTTGTTGTTTTTTTTGTTGTTTTTTTTACAGGTACTTAGTTAAAGGTCCCCCCTCATTATTTTTAGGGTGAGGGGGTAGGTAGGGGGTTAATTTTTATTTTTTTTGGGGGGGAGGGGGTGACTAGGGGTTTGGGGACCCCTAGTCACCTGGGGGGGGACATTTTTTTTAGGGCCCCCACCCGCCGCTCAGGGGTGGGGGCCAGGGGGGAGGACATTAGGTCCCCCCCTTTTTAGTATTTAGGGCCCCCACCCGCCACTCAGGGGTGGGGGCCGGGGGGGAGAACCTTAGGTCCCCCCCCATTTAGTATTTAGGGCCCCCACCCGCCGCTCAGGGGTGGGGGCGGGGGGAGGACATTAGGTCCCCCCCTTTTTAGTATTTAGGGCCCCCACCCACCGCTCAGGGGTGGGGGCCAGGGGGGAGGACCTAAGGTCCCCCCATTGTGATTTATTTTCCCCCGACCCACCGCTCAGGGGTGGGGGCCGGGGGGGAGGACATTAGGTCCCCCACTTTTTAGTATTTAGGGCCCCCACCCGCCGCTCAGGGGTGGGGGCCGGGGGGGAGGACATTAGGTCCCCCCCCTTTTTAGTATTTAGGGCCCCCACCCACGCTCAGGGGTGGGGGCCGGGGGGGAGGACATTAGGTCCCACCTTTTTTAGTATTTAGGGCCCCCACCCGCCGCTCAGGGGTGGGGGCCAGGAGGAGGCCCTTAGGTCCCCCCCATTGTGATTTATTTGCCCCCACCCACCGCGCAGGGGTGGGGGCGGGGGGGAGGACAGTAGGTCCCCCCCCTCATTATTTTTCTGGCCCCCACCCACCACGCAGGGGTGGGGGTGGGGGGGAGGACAGTAGGTCCCCCCCCTCATTATTTTTATGGCCCCCACCTGCCGCCCAGGGGTGGGGGCCGGGGGGAGGACAGTAGGTTCCCCCCCTCACTATCTTTATGGCCCCCACCCATCGCACAGGGGACAGGGGGCCCTAAATACTAAAAAGGGGGGGGGGACCTAATGTCCTCCCCCCCCGGCCCCCACCCTTGAGCGGTGGGTGGGGGCAAATAAATCACAATGGGGGGGACCTAAGGTCCTCCCCCCTGGCCACCACCCCTGAGCGGCGGGTGGGGGCCCTAAATACTAAAATAAAAGCGAGTAGGGGCAGAATTTACTAATACTAAGTAATCTTTACTTAGTATTAGTAAAGGTGGCTGAAAGACCAATTTAGGTCTTTCAGCCTTTTAGTAGATAACTCCCTAATACCGTGGGAATTAGGGAGTTATCTACTAAGCGGCTGCAAGATGCAGCCAGGTGTTAGTCCCCTTGAAACAACTTGTGGGTTTTAAAATTCGCCTGCCTATTGAAGTCTATGGCGGTTCGCCCGGTTCGTGGGTTCGCGAACATTTGCCGAAATTCGCATTCGCCGTTCGCGAACCGAAAATTTCATGTTCGCGACATCACTAGTTGTAAGTCAAGGGAGTATAGTGATCATAGCAATCCCCAGAGTGAATATAGCTCTCCAATCCCCCAAACATGAGCCTAGACTTCATGAAGGGTAAATGGCAGCCACAACTGGCCTTATAGGCAGGTCTGTTTAATGGCAGCCACAACTGGCCTTATAGGCAGGTCTCCATGCAAAGGGCACAATTACATTGGCTCTCAGGACCTGGACACTCCCATACAAAATAGGTAAATCCCTCCCCTGTGCCTGGGAGATTTAGTCAGCACTGTACTAAACTCAATTATCTCCAGGCACAGAAAACAAAAATTTTACAAAACCCCAAAATCCCCACAAAAGTTACATCCCTTGATAGCCCTGATCTGGTTGACCAACATATTCAAAAATCACCCAGATCGGTTCAGGAATTTCCTGGAAGTCATAATATGACCGACTACACGCATGGTCCCATGCCCAAAACAGTTCCAGAAAATCAGGGCTTGCTGTCAATATAGTTCAGTAGTTTAAAAACTAACAAACTACCGAACATAGTCAATCTTACCCTGGAGCTTGCTCCCCTTGTTCCTGTTCACCGAACAGTGTCTTTCTAAGTTGTGTAGAACCAAACGCAGGTGATCCTGGAAGTCCAGCAGTATTCAGGCGTTTCAGTGTTTGAAAATAGTTACATGACCTCGACGACCAAACAACGCAGCCTGGTTTCATGCGTCCATAGGAATTGCGGCCACCCAGAACACTGCTGTGGAAAATGCTACAATGTAGCAATTAGACTGAACAAGCTTCAGGGTGATCTCTGGTTCATGCGGCTGTTCGGTTCCCGAACCAAATATAAAATACCACGAACAAAGTCTGTTCACATAGTTTTTTTTTGGTAAGAGGCTGGCCAGCAGACCCCACCAAGAACACATGACGAGGCACAGTTCGTCACAGGCCCTTTAAAAATGTATGTGATTTATGTACTTTTGTGTGGCGGGACCGCTGCCTAACTGTGAATTGCCCTTTTTCTATGTGTGGATGTGCCCTCCTAGAATGTGTGTCCTCCCCCCCACCCCCCTTTTTAATTTTCCCCTTTCTGTAATTTCTACCATAAATCCTGCAAAATACCTTTTGACCACCAGGGGGCACTCCAGCGCACAGAGATTCGTGTGCTGGCCACCCCGATAACCCATTTAGAATGTGTAGTTAAAATGTTCACACCTCACTAACGAGGTGTGAAAACCACAGACCGCACGTGTCAACCACGTGGCGTGTGCTTCCCCTGGGTGGCCGCCGGTTCGTATAACCGAACACACACCGGGGGAGCATTCGGTTCAGCCTACCTGCTCCTAACGGAGCTATAATCACTCTTTGCACTCGAACCAGTGAACTAAGGCTCATGGCTGCCCAGGCGAACGCTCTCTCTGGCGAATACCTAAGTGTGGGCATCCACAAAAGAGAGGGACGCGAGCCAGCGGGAAATCCCTGGAGCAGTGAGTCAGTTTTGTGTTGGATGGAGACCCCTTGCGGGGGTCTGTGCATGAAAAGCTGTTTGTTTAAATAAAGATTGTCAAAAGTTTTATCCTGGAACTGTGTGCCGTCCTGTTACTGGGAAAATGGGTCTGACCTATGGTTACTAAAGGGAATAACCAGTCGGGTTACCCAGGTCCCGGTTCAACTCAGGGCAAATCCACACATAAAAAAGAATAATTCACAGTTAGGCAGCAGTCCCGCCACACAGCTCCCCCATAACCAACAACCAGCATACACTGCCTGATCCTGACAGATCAGCTGGGGAATGTTCGGGGGAGTGCTCACTGATCATTTATCTACACCCTGTTCCAAATTATTATGCAAATGATATTTTTCTCATTTACCTAAATAATTGATGTAAATAAGTCAGCATAATTCTCATGTTATCAACTAGTACAACTCAAATTTTATTGAACAAACCTCCTAATGATAACAGTATTTTTTTTTTAAACATAAAAAACTTACAATGCACTGTTCCAAATTATTACGCACAGTAAGTTTCAAAACACTTTATAGGTTGTAAAGAACTGAAAATTGCCATTTGTTGTGTTTGCAGCATATTTACTGAAATCAAAAGCTATTTCAATCAAACTTATAACAACATTTTAACTTTTTAAACATTTTAACAGGTCACGTTACATTTTAACATAGGACCCCTTATTTGATAGAAGCTTCACAAGTCTTGTGTCCATTGAACTTGTGAGTTTTTGGACAGTTTCTGCTTGAATTTGTTTGCAAGATGTCAGAATAGCCTAACAGAGCTGCTGTTTGGATGTAAACTGCCTCCCACCCTCATAGATCTTTTGATTGAGGATGCTCCAAAGGTTCTCAATAGGATCGAGGTCAGGGAAGGATGGAGGCCACACCATGACTTTCTCTCCTTTTATCCCCATAGCACCCATTGATGCTGAGGTATTCTTTGCAGCATGAGATGGTACATTGTCATGCATGAAGATGATTTTATTACGGAAAGCATAGTTCTTCCTTCTGTACCAGGGGGAAAAAGTGGTCAGTCAGAAACTCCACATATTTTTCAGAGGTCATCTTTACACCAGCTCTCTTCCCATGATTCCGGCCCAAAACATGACTCCACCACCTTGCTGATGTCGCAGCCTTGTTGGAACAGGGTGGCCGTCCACCAACCATCCACTACTCCATCCATCTGGACCATCCAGGGTTGCACAGCACCCATCAGTGAACAGGACTGTTTGAGAATTAGTGTTCATGTATTTTTCTGCCCAATGCAGCTGTTTCTGCTTGTGAGCATTGGTTAGTGGTGGCCAAATAGAAGGTTTATGCACAGTTGCAAGACTCTGGAGGACTCTACACCTTGATGTCCGTGGGACTCCAGAGGCACCAGCAGCTTCAAATATCTGTTTGCTGCTATGTAATGGTATTTTAGCAGCTGCTCTCTTGATCCGATGCATGGATCTGGCAGAAATCTTCCTCAATGTGCCTTTATCTGCACGAACCCGTCTGTGCTCTGAATCAGCCACAGATCTCTTAATAGTGCAATGATCACGCTTAAGTTTTCGTGAAATATCTAATGTTTTCATACCTCATCCAAGGCATTGAACTATTTCACTCTTTTCGGCAGCAGAGGGATCCTTTTTCTTCCCCATATTGCATGAAAATGGTGCTCTGCTTAATAATGTGGAACACCCTCCTTTAGTAGTTTTTCCTTAAATTGGGCTCACCTGGCAATCTAATTATCACAGGTGTCCGAGATTGTTTTCAGTGACCAAAAGAGCCCTGAGACACAATGCCACCCATGAGTAAAACTGAAAAACAAAATATTTCATCTTTGTGACACTTAAATAGAATTTGCATAATTCATTTGGAACAGGGTGTAGGGCTGTGTGTCTGGACAACCCGTCGGCATTGCCATTCTGCTTACCGGGCCTGTAGTGAATGGTAAAATCATATAGTTGTAGGGCCAGACTCCATCGTAGCTGCCTGGCATTGTCCCCTGCGACCCAGTTAAGCCATACTAACGGGTTGTGATCCATG